GGTTTAGATTTGGGTGGCCTAGTAGCCGGAAAACGTTCACTGGACCTAACCTCAGCGTAACAATCCATAGCCCTAGAAGTAACTAGGCGTCTAGCCCAGAATCAACGATCGACCCAACCTATTGGACGATATCGGTTCAGCATGCAGGCGACTCGTGACCTTCTCTTCAACTCGCGAATTGTGCGTTAATCGGAGTTGCGACCCACGTTGCACTGTTTGGTACCGATTCCTACATTTTCAACCCTTTTGGAGTTGTTTTTGATCTTATTAAAGACATTTAAGGTTAGTATGACCCCTAATGCTCAATTTAAATTATTTTGAGTTAGAAGTTGGAATTATTTGTTATTTTAGGTAAATTAAGTTGGTTAATATGTTTTAATATGTTACCATGGGCCCACCTAGGATGAAACGAACTTTGAGGGGCAGAATCGAGCTAGCTCTAGAAATACTTGGAGGTCGTGGCTTAAGCCAACCAAGTGAGTGACTCTATTGTTGGTCTAGTTGGATGAATTGTATTATGTATAATAACGTGTGTCTTGTGGCCCTTGCACATGTCATATGTATAGAAGATATGCTATGCTATGCTATGCTGTTCGTTGCTATGCAATGTTGAGTTATGTGTATATAAGCCAAGTTATACTGTGACTATGTCATGTCGCATAAAAGCTATGCTATGTATGAACCTCCATAGACCATGCTATGAAAGCTATGCTATGTATGAAAGAATTGACAGGGATTATGTATGCATAATCACAAATTCATTATGCTAGAGATGAATGAAGGTTTGAATTACATCATAAAGTATGTCATGATTTTAAGCTATGGGGACCAATGCATCTTTGTGTCCCATGTGCATAAGAATACTTCCCTGTTATGATGAATATAAACGCGTACATTATGGCATACGACATTTATATGTTCGTCATAATGCGATGCGAGCCCTCTCCCTCCGTGATGTCTAGTGTCACGATTATGCTTGTCTAAGGCATGTTGTCTGTGGCCGCATGCCCATTTCAAGTTCATTTTACTTGCTTTCATGTTAGATAAGACTTTTCTATATTATTGTTGTGTTAATGGAGTGTGTATGACCGGTCACCAAAATCATGTCTACACCCACCAGGGCTAAAATGCCCACAATGTACTATAAAGGATATTATTAGTTATCAATTCTTCCTACCTAGATTATATGTTATCAAAGTCATCGTTATTGCTTGTTCGTTTTTAGCTTATAACATTATGTGAATGTTTGATTAATCCACCACACCTAAATGGTGTGAAAGTTATCTTATTTATAATCAAATGAATTACAAGGATATGGAAATAGTAATAAATGGAAATAACAATAAATAGAAAGATACGATAATAAGGCAAATATTAGATATTTGTCTTATAATAAAATATCAAATATAATATATATGGTAAACAATAATTTATTACTAAATATCCTTAACACCCCACCGCAAGCTAAGCGTCGGATTTAAACGAATGTGAAGCTTGAATCTGAAAAATTCAAAGAGGTTGAGAAACACTTTTCATGAAGATGCTAACAACCCGGTTCTTGGCCATCAAAAATTTGCAGAGGGATCGCCGCTCAGCGGCGATGCTGCCTTGGCTTCGGCGAGAATATGTCTAACCCATGAAGAGGGATTGTCGCTTAGCGACGATGCTGCCTTGGCTCTGGTGAGAATATTTCTAACCCCAAGAAGTAGAAGGGGAAACCTAGAGCAAGGGACAAAGACAATGTTGAAGCCGGAAGAGTCGCCACATTGGGCGAAGGAGCCAATTTTGGCGAGAAGGGCAGTCGGAAGAGTCGCCTCATCGGGCGAAGAAGCCAATTTTGGCAGGAAGGGCGGCGGCAACTTGGTTGGCGAATAGGCCAGTGCGGCACCCAGATTCCGAAGGTAAATCTCTGCAAAAGGTTGATAGGTTTAGGTTAGGGTTTATGTGAAGGATGAAGGTTGATTGGGAAGAAAATGAGAGAGACTATATTGGCCAAGGGGAAAACCGATTGGGTTGGAAAAGGTGAGGTTGTATGTACAGAGTATGACGAAAGGTGATTTGGAGGTCAATAAGGTGGAGCCGAAGAGTAATCAATCGGCTCCGACTACGGCAGCCATGAAGACTGCCTCTGTGGCGTCAAAACCAGCAAGGGTGGTGGAGAAGAAGATTAGAGGATTCAAAAGCCATTGAAAAGAAAGGATCGGGGTTGTTAAACCGAGAGGGCTCTGATACCATGTGAATATTTGCTTAATCCACCACACCTAAATGGTGTGAAAGTTATCTTATTTATAATCAAATGAATTACAAGGATATGGAAATAGTAATAAATGGAAATAACAATAAATAGAAAGATACGATAATAGGGCAAATATCTAATATTTGTCTTATAATAAAATATCAAATATAATATATATGGTAAACAATAATTTATTACTAAATATCCTTAACACATTATTTTCTTTAAAATTATTTTCAACGTATTTCCTCGATCACCTTTCTAAGATATTTCTCTCATACGTGACTCGAGGCTCGAGCATACGTTGATATTGTCCACAAAGTCTGAATTTCACACGGTTGACTTGTTTGCTAAGTTAGAATAATATTGCACAATCACCTCGCTGCTGCACAAGTGCGATTGTGACATCCAACATACTTTGTTAGCAAGTGCTAGCCTCGACAAGCCAGACTAGGGAGTGCGAGCCCGCCTGGTGGGCCCATGTTCGCATGTGTGGCCCATGTGTAGAGAAGTGTCTAGGCTAGTATCTGGAGCACAGAATATATAAAATAGATTCCAAACTATTATAAAAAATATTAGAACTATGATTCATACTTATCAGACCTCATATCCAACCTTTATTGGACTGGAAAGCTGTCTAAGGCCATGCCATGATGTTTTTAAATGATAGGTTCCACCATGTTGCAAGTATTTGCATTTTTTGACTCGACAGTGGGGTTAGTTATAAAGTATTTCTTAAAATACTCAAGTCACGCACTACTCTTATTTTTCTAGTAAAGATAAGACACCCCTATACAGATGACTATGTCACAATGAAGGTCATGAATCCAATGTTAAGGTAGTTGCATTTTGTCTTTTTGTAGTCCTTAAGTTAGATTAGGTTAGGTCATTATATATTTTTCCTATTCGTTTCAAATGCTATGTTATTTATTTTCCACTTTAATGTATTTCTTTTTGTTGTTTTAAGGTTTTACTCGCTAGCACATCATCTGGTGTCTTGCTATAATATCATTAGTAACAGCCTAAGCCCACCACTAGCAAGTATTGTCCTCTTTAGGCTTTCCCTCCAAGATCTAGAACATGTCTACTAGGGATAGATTTCTGCACCTTTATAAAGAATGTTTTGTTCCTCTATCTAACCGATGTGAGATCTCGTCGAGGGTATACCTGCCTCCTCTTCAGACGTGTCCTCGACAACTTGGTAGTTGTTTGGTCTTTGCTTTTAGGGTGGAAGGGCTTGGTCGCAATCTTAGCTTATCGACGGGTCTTGCATTAGATATATGCATCATTTTCTTTGTTTGAGTTTGAAGTCATAACCTCGCAGAAGCAACCTATCGTTAACGGTAAATACCAAATCATGATAAATTTCAAATTAAGTGAACCAATGATGAAAATATCATATCCATTTTTCTATCACTATTTTGAAAATATGATTTTTTTTATCATTATCTAGACAAATTAGTTTAATCTTTTTATTTTTATTTTTTTATTATTATTATCTAGTCAAATTAGTCTAATCATATTTATCTAAGTTCTCATATATCTATATATATATATATATATAATTTCATGTCCCCTATAGTACATTTTGAGACATTTCATGTCTGGCAAGCCTAAACATGATTTTTTCGAAATGTCATACTTCTTAGAAATCCAAAAGTAAAACACTACAACATGGAAAGACATAGAGGGTTTGGCTTGTCATGGGCATGCGGCCATGGGCAACACGCCTTGGACGAGCATGACTGTGACACTCAGCGCTGCACCAGTCCGTTGAGTCGACCCTTACACTCGCGCCTCAACCCGAAAACAGCCCGCAACTTCTCTTGGCTCAATTCAACGACATGTCAGCTCATTTTGGCTTGGTGACTTGACTTCTCGACTTAGGCAGCTCAATATACAAACTTCCTATCGTTTCTAAAGTTTTTGACACAACTAAAGCCATTTTTGACCTTGGTATTTGAGGATAGTAAGGTTAATACTTGAGTGTGATATAGATTGATATAGGTAAAGTTAAAAGTTGCGCGGTTTCAAAACAGCTATTAAATAATTAATAATGACGGACTTCGACTAAGGTCAACCAAGTAAGTGACGACCTTACTCTGAGTAACCTTACTCTATCTTGTGAGTGATCTTACTCTAAATGATCTTAATCTAAGTGACCTCACTTTGAGTGACCTTAATCTAAGTGACCTTACTTCGAGTTACCTTACTCTTGTGAGTTAGATAGTTAATGATGTATGGGGACCTCATGCATGTATGTATGTCATGTCCATTGAAATACTTTCCCATTATGTTATGTTAGTACGGAAGTGTACCTTCAATATTTATGTTCGCTATAATATCACGTGGGTTTTTCCTTTTCTATGGCTTCTGGTGATGTGTTAGCGCATTGTGCCCGACCAAGCCAAATCTAGGGAGTATGTATACGATCCCGCCTAGTAGATCATGTGCGTGTATGTGAGCCGTGTGTAGAGAAGTACCGCACATCTAACACTTCCCTAAATTGGAAAGAGCCTAAGATTATGTTACAGTTTTAAAACAGATCCCAACATATTTTGTGTGTGATTGTAATACTAACCCCAACAGTAGGATGACTTACGGAGTATTTCTTAAAATACTCAAGCTACGTTACTCCCATGCACGAATGATAATGAATGTTGGAAAGACCATAAAAGTCAAGATAGGGCAGTATAATGCTAGGTGGTTTCTTCATATTTCATGTTAAAATACTCTGATATTTCTAATTGCCAGGGAGGAAAAAGAAAAGGCCAAGTCAACTGAGGGGCAAAAATGTCATTTGGCCCCTCCAGCCCTAATAGGGGTCCAAGGAGAACCCCGTCAGATCCCCTGCAAAAGAAAGGAGTTAGAGAGAAATTGGAGAGGAGTCAGCCGTGAAGATTAACGGACCACCGCCGGAATTCATCTTCAGACGAGACTCGTACAAGGATTGAGAGGCTAGCGAGGCCGACGCTCCGTCAAGACCCAAGAACATTTTGCGAGGTAAGGTTCTGAACGACATTTCTGAGATCTGAGTTTTCACCATGTGAATCGATCCTAAAATGCTGAAATATTCACCTAGGAACAACTCACGCACGGTCTGTGAAGAAGTTTGGCCGAGACCTCAACCCGATGGCGGAGATCCGAGAGTCGTCCGAGAACGGTGAGCGAACTTCCGACGTTCTTAACTCGTCCAATAGTCAAGCAAAAAATTACAAAAAAAATACTAGGACGTAGCCCGTAACACGATCTAGAACTTTGCCGAAGAAATCATATCGATCCGATCTACGGATCGAAAGATATGAAAATCGGAAAGAGGGGACTGTATTACGGATTTCAGAGGAAAGAAAGAAAGAAAGAAAGAAAGAAAAAAAAAAAGGGTCGGCCGGCGAATGGCGCCGGACAGGCGCCGGACACGCGTCGACCGTCGGCTGGAGCAACGCAGCTCCAGCGAGGCGACGACACATGTCGCCTGCAAGCCGGGCCGAACTGAAACGCGAGCCGGGCCGATCCGGACCGGACCGGCCGACCCGCGACTGTGCAGAAGCGGGCACGCGTGGTAGGCGCGCGTGCAGCCTGCGACTGGCGTCTTCCCTCGCGCATGACCTCGCACTCCCAACGCGCGTGGAAGGGCCATTTTGGCCCGGTTGCTCTCTGTTTGCCCGATTTTTGTCCCGGTCCCAGTTCTAATACTGTTTTTATGTGAATAGGGACTTAATTTGAAGAAATCAGTATTTTTGGACACCTCACGGGTAAAGAAACCCTAGCAAAAAGGGCACGCATCAACCAGGTAAGTCACCACCCGGTATTTAGGAAGAAATACTTGTAGGGTTCGCTTGGATTGTATGTACGCATGCTAGTAGTTTTGCTTCAGATTAGCTCTTTACATATTGGTCAGATTAACTGTTATGATTGTATTTGGTGAAGTACATGAGTGTTGCTGTATACTTTAAGCTTCTGTTGTATGTATGCATGCGTTTGATTTATGTTGGAATTGTGTATTCTATGTTCCGGGTGCTTGATGGATGAATTCGCCCCATTGAGTGTGAACTTCATGCTCTGGGTGCTTGATGGAGGTTATCGCCCCATTGAGCTGGTATGCCTAGTTTGCATGGATTATATAGTATAATGTTAGAAGACGATTGCATGCACACTCTGTTAATTGCTAGGGCCCATTTCTATGATAAGCTTAGGGAATTACTATTAGGGAGCGATATGTCGCTCTAGCCAGACTTAATTTTTCCCTAGGAACTTAGCGGTTTACCACGGCAAGAAGGCACCTTGAAGTGTTCATAGATTGCTAGCGTGAGGACGGTATCTGTAGCTTCGTGGGAGGACCAAGGGTCCCTAATCAGTCCTTACTGCTCTTAGCCATTTCGCATGGGAAATGTGTCCCCACGTCGTACAGCTCATTAGCTGCATGGGAACGGGTTGGGTCGTGCCTCCCATAGGGGGACTATATGGGCGTAGGGGTATTCAGCGCACCCCTAGGCTAGGTACCATGTAGTCCCAGATAACCATGCAGAGGTAGCACCTCATAGAGAGATACCAACCATATTGGCTTGGCGTAAGGAACCTCTAGGCATTTAATGAAAGGACGATGAACCGCTGAAACCCAAGGGACAAGCCCCAAGGGACTAAGATTAGAATCAGATGTCTTAGAACCGAATTAGGAAACCCATCGTGGGAATCTGATAATTAAGATGCGAAGAGAGCCTACAAGTAGGTGGCTTACTGAGTATAATTTTTATACTCATTCTTGCTATGTTTTCCTTTTTTTTAGGAGCGCGCGGGCGTGATGGAGGTGGGGTTTGTCACAGAGGAACGGGTTGTCCCGGGGCGTCAGTCCAGTCTTTATTTTGTGTTTACATACTTTCGAAATTTATTTTCTTTTGTTTGTTTGTAGTCCAAAAACTTTATTGGAATTTAAGGATTTTCTTTATTTCATATTTAGAACACTTAGTCAAGTTTTTTTTTTTTTTTTTTTAACTCACTAATATTTAATAAACAATTAATAATTAGATTAAAATAAAGGTCCGACTCATGAAAGTAAGTGAATTATTAGACTTTATTATAAAAAATCTTAGTCTCAAACCTAAATGAATTAATAAATTTTTTATTATAAAAAATCTAATTTTATTTACTATTAATATTTAGTATTTTTTAAATAATTACAAAAGTTTGGAACAAAGATTTGGACGTATTTTGAATAATCAGGCTAAAAATAAAAATATATAGGTAAAAAAAAGTGGCATTGGACCACAAAGGTCTTTGGTATGTTCCTATTAAAAGAAGTAATTAATATTAAGTAGTCTAAATTAAAAGAGGAGTTTTATGAGAATAATATGGAAAAAAAAATTTAATGCTAAAGATATAAATGGTTTGGGTTGAATTTAATGGAACATATATGTGTTCTTCCCAAAAAAGTATATATTACATAAATTCTTAGGTCTCCATCTAAGAACTCGGAAGGAAGTAAGAATAGGAGACAATCCAAGAGACAAAATTATCCTTCATGTAAATGAGTATGAATTCAAAAAGAAGATCATTGCTTTAAAGATCAACTTCGATGCTTCGGATGAATATGAAGAGGAAGAAACAATTCAAGAAACAATTCAAGAACGAATATGAAGTTTTAAAACAAATAAAGAAGATAAAGTTGAGAAAAACCCGTTCTTTCATACACATTTCAGAGCAGAAAACCACAACTTCACAATATGAACACCATGTGCAGCACACAAGGCTGTTGTTGACATGTTTACCAATATAATTATCCACATAAGTTTGGGTCCATATCTGGGAAACACTCTAAAAGTTTCAAAGATTATCATGACACAATTCAAATGTGCACCACATATCATCAAGATCTATAAAACGAGTCAGTTTTAGAAGTTGATTCAATCAGTGGCAACTGGCTGCTAATATCATCATTCATAAGAGTATCAACAAGTTTAGTGTGAACCCCACATTCAGCTTTACACCAGAGGTGGATACTGCTTGGCTTGTTGGCGAACCCTCTTCTTGTACTCAACAGCATCCTGCCAACCATCAAAATTCTTCCATTTAACATTACAAAATCAGAAATGAATGGTTGGTTATCTGATTCACAAAATTTCAGGTTATTATGTACACCTAACAGACTACCAACCGAGTCTAGCCGTTCGAAATCTCTTCGAACAGAGTTTGGTTCAAATCTGGTTGTAGGAACCAATGCCTTTCTTAGGGACATGGCATCGAAATCTGCATGAACGCACGAGAAGGATCGATCCAGGCCCCTTCGTTTTTCCATTTCTATTCTCAATAGCTCACTGTCCAGGTTCACATGCCAATCTAGAAACACACCTATTGTATGCCTCTTTTGTTGTATCTAATCTAGAAACAATTAATACAATGAATACATGAAATATTTTCTCTTGAAAACAATTTTTACACAGTTCAAACCCACAGGACCATGCAGATAGGGCCATCATGAAAAATCCATTTCAGAAATTTTGTGCAATACTAAACAGCAATGGTTGGTTATTATACTAGAAGAGCACCGATTACCGTGGAGAAGTATTACTGATGACTAAAATAATCAAGGTGAAGACACAACAGACAATCAAATAATTAACTGATTTCTTCTTCGCATTGTCGTTTTGCTACACTACCCACCCTCGACCAACAAATGAGTCTTTTAAAACCCTGCACATTAGTGAGCAGGTCATAGGCCAAATATTGAATGTGTTAAATACGTGAACTTCTGATTCCCATCTCTTCACACAAAATTGTGAACCAAATCCCTTGACTAGTGTTTCTATAACCGAGTATATACCACTACATATTATACTTAGCACGGGAAAGGATTGCGCTTTCCACTGCCCTATGGAGAAAAATTATAAAGCACATAACGTGGTCAGATAGATCAAAATTCAAAAAGAACAATGCATCTAGCGATTGACATACCTGGATGAAGAGATGATAACCTTCTGTCTGAGCAGGATCAGCAGGATTTGGTTGATCCAGCAAATCCTGGATCCCAACAAGAATTTGTTTAACAGTTATGGCTGGTCTCCACCCCTACACATGAACGGAGAAAATTCAGGAATGGGTCAGGTGAGGTCTCAATAAACATACAGCCATAAGTTTTCATTTACTACTCACACTATCTTCATTGAGAATTGACAGGCAGACCGTTCCTGACGGGTACACGTTAGGATGGAAGAAACCCTGAGGAAATCTACACTTTGGTGGCTTACTTGGGTAGTCCTCACTGAAGTTGAGTGTAAGGGGAAAGAAGCCACCCTCCCAGTCTGTCTGTAAGAAATTAACGATTTTGTCAACTTCAAATGCTACAGAACTTCAGAGCATCGTCATACTTAAAAAGTTGGAGAACAAATTCCACAAAACAATAGACAACATGAAAAGAAGACATGTCGATGGGAACATCAGCAGAACCGTAGCACCATGTAAATCATTGCTTTGATTTTGATTTTTGAAGAGACAAACAAATCATTTATTTGTTCACTGCTATTTTACCAAAAGAGAAGATATTCGTCTGACATTTTTAACGTGAAGTGGCACGTTCCTCTATCAGTTAAATGATATTTTCTATGAGAAATCCAGAAAGGTTAAGGAGTGTAAGATATCATATAGTCTTTAAAGCTTTCCCTCGGAACACCGCCTAGAATCTTTTTTTAACTAGAATTCTTTTCTGATTAGAACCAACAGGAGAACTTGTAATCCCCATGGTTTTGGGTTGATTTCTAAATCACCCTTTTGTATTTTTCCATCTCTAATGATATTCCTTCCCCATTAAAACGATATGAAGAACAACAACGACAAATTAAAGGCTCTAATAGGTCAAACACCAATTTTAATTACATGGGAAATCAACAAATTAGGCAAGGAGTATAGATTAAACACAAATGACTAGACCCTTTCCAACTAAATTATTATGCTGAAAATCACTATTACCAGAATGCATACTTCAAAACTAAGAGATTCCCAAACGTCTAAGGTTGCTTGAGTGAAAATAAAGCTCTAGCGTAAAGAGAGAAAATGTAAGTTTCAAGCAAAGATCAAGTATAGAACCGGTGAAGTGACCAGATAAAAAGGGAAGAGAAAATCCAAGGATAAATCAAGTTGGTGAAGGATCCATTCAAATAGACAAGAATTAGGGCATGCAAGATATTGCAATTAGGCATGAACTGCATAATATCAAAAACAACAATCAACCCATAATTCAAAACCCGAATTCAAAACACATCCACAAAATTGCAAGAGCAAACCATACCCCAACTTTGCCAGGAATAATGCAATGCCAAATCATCAAATTGACCGTTCCATCAGGCATAGTCTCCGGTTTCGCAACAAAACCCTAAAAAACACGAAAAAATCAAAACAAAACCAAGGTCCTTCCCTAAACAGAACACATAGCAAAACAAAAATCGAATACCCACATGCGGATGATTCTTCCGCCACGATTTCCGCTCCTCCGCAAGACGACCTCGTGCAATACCACCGGACATGGCTGTCGGTTTCTGTATCAAGAAATCAACAAATCTTCGACCCCTGAATCGGCGATCCCACCACAGGAAGAAGGAGAGAAACAGCCGGACACACAGACTTATAGGAGGAAGAGAGAAGTAGTGGAGCAGTCGCAGAGAGTCGGAGTTGAATCAAACGTACGGCTGAGATTCATCAATGAAGCATAAAATTGGGTTTTGAATTTGGATAAATATCGAGGGAAAATTAAATTCAAAAGTCAAATCAGAATCTGTGGGATTACTCTTTTCTTTTTCTTTATCTCTCTTTTCTTTGGAGTTCGAAAACGTCGCTTGAGAATCACGCCAATTCTCGAAATGGCGTCGACACTTCGGCATGGCCTCATCATTCAACACCGCCGCTTGTTTTCTTCTTAAATTCCGATGCGAACAATTTCCTTTCTTTTCCTTAAAATTCCACTTTTCCTATTATTAAATTAATAAATTTAATTAGTAACGTCCATAAAAGTTTATTAAAGTTGAAATCAATAATAATATTAATTTTAACTTTCTAATTTACTTGAATAAAACTTTTTTGACCAAGTCAAATTTAAAATAAAGATTCATTAAATATTCAACTAATTGGATCACAAAATCTACAAAATAGTTTTTAAATCGCAAATAATAATAATTTATTTATATATTAGCATTTTTCTCATGTTTTATACCTATTTAATTGGTATATATTTCTTTTCTTGAGATCTCGTCTCATACCCGATAATCCAAATTAATAATATATGACATTTTCGAAAATTATGATATATCAACTAAAAAACGGAATATTATTATTTACTTTTTCTAGTATGAACTTGCAATTTACTTAAATGTTATTTGACTATACTGCATTATTGTCCACGATTATTTTAAAAGTTATAATAGTTTCAAATTAATTTTTTGGAAAGATTCTTTTAAATAAAAGTTATGGCTTTCAAGAATTAGGTGGAACGTTAAAGTATAGTTTTAGTACCACACTAGTCGAGAACAAGTTAGGGAGAACCTTAGAATACAGTTGGTGGTTGAGAGAGAAGGTATTATTTAGTGGACATTAAAAAAACTAGTAACATAGCACATGCTAGATGTGATAATGGTACAACCTTTAATCTTTAGGAGGGTATAGTGTGCTCATAATGATACCATGCCATTTATGGTGGCTGGCTTTGGAGGGTATGACCAAACATTTTCGTTGGATTCCATATCAATCGACTCGATATACTTTAAAATTATCTCGTTGTTTTTAAATCCAAATGAGTGATTGATCGACATCGAACATTAGTTGTGAAGAACATGTCTGAAAGTGATCTTGAAATTGTTATAAAATATTCTAAAACATGTTGGTAATCATGTAAAATCATTTTTGCATTATATTAGAATCGAGTTTAAGAGTGTATATCAAACATTCAACTCATCGTAAATGATTAAAAACATGTTTGAAAATAATTTTGATTTGAGTAAACAGTTTTAACTATTTCACATTAATATACGTGAAAATTCTCTATTTGCATACCATGATTATATATTCTTTACATTTTTTTTTATTTAATTTATTTACTACATACTTCATTATATAACTTTATCAGCTTCGAGTAACAATCATGTATGCTTTCCTTAATTCATTTAGGATGCATATTTTTCGATTCATTTGTGCTATTTTCCAAACTCAAGAGTGAACCTAGAGCTGAAATTAGTTGTCTTTATATAATCTTATACTAGTCAATCCAAACATAACGTAATAGATAAAACACCAATTAACATCTCAACAAACAATAATTTAATTTGTCTCCCGAACTAAAAAAGACAACCTTGTACCAAAACTAGACAGGTTAAAAGAGTTCCATTTCAACGAGTCTCGTGTCAAATCAAGCTATCATGGCAACGAAACAATGTTTTCAGAAAGATTGTGACCTCAAACAATAAGATGAAATAAGTGGGTGACTTTGAGTCTCAACACATACATTTTGCATAGTTAAAATCACGAACAATTTAAAGCCAAAAGGTAATGTTTAACTCTATCACTTCCCTAATCAAATAAATTCAGGCTACAATTCACAACAATTAACTACAAAATCTTTTCTTTCATCGCTGTATCCAAGCTGATTGAAGAACAATTTTATGTGAATATCAATGGTACAACAACAGAATGAATCTAATTTTCGCAAAGAATTTTTAAGTTAAGACCAGTATTCCTATCAATCAATGATCAGTGAAGCAGTCAACCAATGGATGAAATTGCAGATGCAGGAGAATCCTTAATATAAAGAGGAATTTTTACCTGCAACTCTCTCAGCCGCTCCACCATATTGTACAGAAATTCAAAGGTGAGCTTGGATTGTGCATTGAAGTCTTCTCTAATATGTGGATGAATCTTGAACCAATCTCCCAACAACTTGTGTACGTGTGAACGGATCATTCGCCACGGGACAGGATATTTTTCACAAAGCTTCAAGTAGTCCACCAGTAAATCAGCTTGATCCAGGTTTCCATCCCTGCTACTTTCTTCACAGCCCGCTGTCCATTGCGCGGTTCGAAACCCAGCAAAAAGTGCAGGATTCTCCAGAAGGGTTTCGGCTGAAAGCACGCCCTCGACTCCAGTCTCTTGCAAACAGTTGTTAACATCTTCCATGTGCCTTATGTTCCCATTGGCAAGAACCGGGATTCGTAGAGCATTTTTAACAGCACGAATGGCGCTCCAATTAGCTCGGAATTTCTTGCCATCTTTTTCATCTCTTGTGCGGCCATGGACAGCTAAAAGCGAGCAACCAGCATCCTCCAACATTCTTGCATAATTAATTGTATCCTGTAAATTTGGGAAGACTCGGATTTTGCATGATACAGGAACCTGAAGATTGGAAGCCACTTTCTCTACTATTGCTTTTACAAGAGGTAAGTTGTCCATCAAAAAAGCCCCATAATTCCCTCGCCTTGCAATACGCTGAGGACAACTGCATGAAATTAATAGAGCACTCGAATGAAGTTCAGAAACCGTAAGTGAAAAATATGGATACCATCAACATATTTGGATTGCGACACATATGGAAAGCACGTGAACTACGATTATTCTTGATTATTTTTTTAGTTAAAAATGCAACTGAAATGGAGAACAATGCAGAAAATAAACAAAAAGAATAAATACTGGGGATGCTTTTACTCAAATGTAAGAGTAGCACATGGTTTAAATACTTTAATAAAGTAACCCTGTTGTTGGAGTTGGGTCTAGCACACACATACATGATGGGACCTATTCTTTAAAACAACATAGCATGCCTTGAGATCTTTCGAATTCCAGGTAGGGTTGGGCCGTATGTGGGGAAGTACCATACATCCAACCCTGCCCAAAATCGGAAAGAGCTCACGGTCATGCTATGTTGTTTTAAAAGATAGGTCTCATCATGTACATGTGTGTTTGCATTACCCAACCACAACAATGAGGTTACTTAATAAACATTTCTTAAAATACTCCAGCACATTTCAGGTAAAGGTAAAGGTAAAGCGCCTCTACATGGATGACGGGGAATGTTGGAATGGGCATGGAAGCTCAAATATGATAGTAGTATACAATGTTTTCAGTTTGTTGTTTTATACGTGGCTTTTCATTTTCGTACTCAAACATTATGTTAAAGTTTTATTTTGATGACGTTATTTCTATTTCTTGTTTTAAATTAAACATACAAGTCCATTGCTTTGTTTAAATTTTTTATTTAAATTTTCGCATTGCATTTCTAAACCAAACCAAAAGCCTCACAAGCCAAGCCTTACCCAATCTGTTTTGCCTTCTCTCTCCTTAACTATCTCTGAACTATCACCGTTTCAAAATAGCCCAAATATAGCCGTTAATCTTTCTGAGAAACACAATATTGACAAGAAAGGTAGCCATCTTGTTAGATGATCTTTAGAAAAGCCTATTGAAGAAGGTCCGAGGATATACGATCTTCATAAGGAAAGACATTTACCTCCTAGCAAAGTGGATTTGGCGTTCTTATCATGAGAAGGAGGCCCTTTGGAGAAGAGTTATTGCTCCAAAATATGGAACTACTCATTTCAACCAAAAACCGGGTACTATTCTCCTCAAGAGGTCCACCGAAGTCTATGACCCTAGTTTTCTAGGGACTTAGAGTTGCTACCATATGCATGATGTCATGGACTTATACGTTTAAGAAAATATTCAAAGTAAATTAAAATAAGTCAAGGAAAATATAAAAATAACAATGCTCTGTACTAACCTAAGATCTTCGAAAATAAATGCAACTACCCTATGCAAGTTTCATGGTCTTTGGTGCGCCTTTGCATTTACCTGAAATATAATAGTAGCATATGACTTGAGTATTTCTTAAAATATTAATGAATAATGAATAAAGACCTATCATTTAAAACCATAATCTCTTAGGTAGCCTCCAGTCCGAACAAATTGGATGTGTAGTACTTCCTTACACACGACCCACATGTGCGAACGTGGGCCCACTAGGTGGGCTTGCACACCCCCTGGGACTGCATGGTCGGGATAGATAGTTGTAGTCGGACGTCCAAAAGTACGACAACATCATGTATCAAGCCAAGTATGATAGTCATCATCATCATAATGTATGTGGTTGTACTTATCATAAAAGGAGAAGTATCCCGATGTAAATAGACATACAATATGCATGAGAACCATATACTCTTCATCTTTAACATTCATGCATCACAACCTCACACATTCTTCACATATTACCCTTAGAAACATGCATGCATAAGCTTCATAACATTACTTAGGGATTGGCCATATATGTCATATCATAGTGCAACATGCCATCTTATGCATGCATATCATCGTAATATGAGATATTATCATACTATGTCATATCCTCATACATCTCAGGTTATCATAGTGTTACATCATCATCATAACATATCATAACACTTCAAATCATCATAACATATCACAACACTTCAAATCATCATAACATATCACAACACTTCAAATCATCATAACATATTACATCATCATAACATATCAACATATATAACATGTGCATGGGCCACTGGGCATGTGTCATCATACACAAGACAAGTCTTCCAACTGAGCTGATAGCAGGGCCACTTACTTGGTTGGCCTAGGATTTTGCTCTCTAGAATGTAATTCTACCTAAGGCTTCTACTCTCTAAACTGCAATTCTACCTAACGATTCTGTTCTCTAAAATGTAATTCCACCTAAGGATTCTCACAATCATAAAATAGAATTTTCTCACCTAATTTTGCACGAAACAATTTAAACCTATTCTTAATAATTTAAACTAGCTAAACTTAATTAATAATTTAAATACTCCTAATAATTTAGACTAACTAAACCAAATTTTGCATAAAATAA